GGTCTGGTCCACCCCCCGCCCTGGAGCTGCGGCTGTCTGGCCCACGCTGCGTGCTCCGCGCCCTGGCCCCGGGCCGCGGCACCTGGGCTCCCGCCCAGCCCTTCGTGGGTGATGCCACACGAACATCTCCACCGAGTGACATTTAGGAGTCGGGCGTTGAGGAAAGCCTATGCCTTCCGGACTCGTCGCTTTTCCAGGCTCCAGCTTCCTCTCCGTCTGCCCTCCTTCGATCTCTCACACCATCCCTTTGGAAGCCTAATGTGGCAGAGTATTCTTAATATTTCCAGAGTGGCTCCATCAGGTCTCTGTAGTGTAGAGCCATCTGGGGCACCGGAAATATTGTTTCGGAAATGAGATTAGGAGGAAAAGGGTCACGTGGCAGAGAAGATGGGGCACGCAGTACAGACCACCTGTTTGCACTGGGAACCACCGGCTTTGGCCTGTCGGATGTACTCCGTGAGACGGGCGCGTGTTAGAAAATAAAAGTCAAAATTCCGAAGATGAAATGTGACGGGTAAAATACTAACTGAAAAATTCGAGTTAACTTAAACTGTAGGTGTTAACTCATCTATACTGCACAGTTTAGCCTTGAAACTGGTTTTCCTTACACAGTATGTGAAGCAGTTTCCTGGATATTTTGTCTTGTGTAATATAAATGGACGCAAACCTTGTTTTCCCAGTGTGGTTACAAATTTACCTGTCTGCTTTCTTTATAGCCTACTATTTTTATGATATTGCACTGACATATGACCTCTTTTGCCTCCCTTTTACTTAGATTTCTATCTCCAGCCCCGTAGTACCTTAAGTCAAATTGGAAGTGTGATTCTTAATACTTTCAGTTTCAGGACAGCTAAATGTTTCCTGTAATTGAAGTTAGCGCTTTCCTAAAACATTCCAAGCTAATGTTGTTTTCCCAGACAGAAAAAATGTTATTTTTTTTAAAAATCACTTGATGGGCAAAATTTGTGGTAATGATTATGTGTGCTACAGAGCAGTCCTAGGACCATGGGCACATCATTTAACATCTTCAGTTAGATGACTCAAATCCCTTCAAGATCTACAAAGCTAGACTTCTGTTAAATTTCTAACTCTAATGTTTTTTAGGGACTAGAATGTGTATGCTTAATTTCATCTAGTACTCACTTTTATCATCTAGTTTACCAGACATGTAACTAGTTAAATACCTATGCGCAAAGTCACAGAATTGGAAAATGCAATTACTGGCATTTAAAAGTTGTCCTTTAAGGCTTTAGGATAGGAACTGCTTTTTATTGAAAATGTCTTCCAATATGTGTCTCTTCAGTGGCTTTAGTGTCCCTCTTTTTTTCCCTTGTCAGGAAGTTGAGCCCCTTTTGTGATTTACATGTTTTCCAGAAGCTTATACCTTCATTGCCTTCTACATAAGAAATCATCTCTTAGCAATAACTTTGAAACACTCTTTTGGCTAATACTTATTGACAACCCCTACATAAAAAATGTTCTATCAGTCTCTCCAGCCCCCAAAGAAAATCAGTCTAGGCCAAGCAATCCTTCAAGAATATTTGCTCAGATGCCCAGGAGTTTGAGTGGTCAGTAAGATAGTCTTGTTTACGTTAGTTCAAAGGCGTTTATTTTTTGCCACCAAAGTTTGTAGTAATAGCTAGACTGATTCAAGGACTACAGGTATACATCTTGCAGATATTGTGGGTTCACTTCCACACCACTGTAATAAAGTGAGTATCGCAATAACAAGCAAGTTGTAATATTTTTGCTGGTGGAGGGTCTTGCCTTCAGTTTGTAAAAAAAAAAACAATGCAAAACGCAACACCTATAAAGTACAATAAAGCTAAACACAATAAAATGAAGTATGCCTATATATGATAATCCTGAGGGTTTTCCAATCAAGAACTTCAAGAGTGAACCCTAGCTGTCTCCAGTTTACATACAAAGTGAAGAACACTGGCCTTAAGACGGAAAATTTTTTTAATCTGGTGAAAGATGATCCTGTTTTCTGAATGATCTAGTTTCCAAATGTAGGTTCCAGTCTTTGACATCTTCCCATTTTGCCTTTGTGTAATAAACATTTCTCTTATTCTGGGAGGGAAGCTTCCATTTGATCCTGTTGTTTTTTCTAATGCTCAGCTTCCAAAGTATAGGTCATCTTTCAATCATCAAGCCACCTGGAATGCCAGCATGCACTCCGGACACTGCCAGGTTTTATAGAGGATTATTAAAAGAAATAACCAGGTGAAAAATGAGTTAACTTTTTGTAGAGGACTTACTTAGAACAGTATTTGGCATGTGTTAAATACAGCATAACTGTCTATTAAATAAATAAGAATAAAATTTGTTTATTGTAAAACCTGACAAGGACATTGGCCTTTGAATTTTAGGCTCACACATGAGAAACTTCGTTTTGTTTTTCAGTTTCTAGGAAAAATTTCTGTTGAGATATAGTTGTACTTCTTATAAGAAACTGATTTGCACTGTTTACCTTATTGCCCTGCTTACCACTAAGCTCAGAATGAATTTAATACTTAACCATAGCAGTTTTATTAGTCCACATGGCTGAGTATTTGCTTTTCCTCTTTTCCTTGGTCTAACTTTATATTTTATAAACCATATTATATTCTGGGAGGTGATGGGATATAAACAAATTACCTACTTATCCATAGTCAAACTCTGAATCAGTGTCATGCTAGGATATGCCATCTCCTTCAACCAACTTCATGGGTTAAGATCTTACTACTGTCTTAAATATTTTAAGGAAAAATGTAATGATCTTTGCTCTGTTTTAATTTTGTTTCTGTCATTCTATCATTTTGAAATCCACTTTGGTTGGCTCTCTCATTTTTTAAGTTGTTCTCTCTGCTTTCCTGACTCTTTGGGTTTGCTCACTGGGTAAACCCTGAGGCTGAGGCCTTTGCTTCCTTTCCATTTGTCTGCCTTCTCAAAAGCATATCCCTTCTCTCAGCTTTGACTCATCTTTGTGTAGGTAATATCAT